CAGATAGAGCATCAGATTCCACAAGTTGATGGCTCAGTCCTACCACTGCCCCCTCCTCCTCCACTGCAGACACCAATTGCAAGTCCAGGTTGTCACCTGTGCTTCTGACCAACCGGCTATAAATCAGAGGTTCCCACGACCCCCTCCTCAGGTTTGATGAATTTGCTAGAGGGGCTCACAGACTCAGAAAAACATTTCGTTTGCTAGATCACTGGTTTATTATAAAAGGATATAACTCAGGAACAGCCAGATGGAAGAGACGGACAGGGAAAGGGGTGGGAAAGGGCGTGGAGCTTCTAGGCCCTATCCTGTCTCACCTTTCTCCACGCATGTCCACATGTTCACCAACCTGGAAGCTCTTTGAACTCTGTCCTTTTGGGTTGTTATGGAGGCTTCATTACACAGGCATGATTGACTAAATCATTAGCCATTGGTGATCCATTCAACTTCCAGTCCCTCCTCCCCTCCCCGGAAATCAGGGGGTGGGACTGAAATTTCCACCCCTCTATTCAATGTTGTTCCCCCTGGCAACCAGCTCCATCCTTAGGAGTTTTCCAAAAGTCACCTTATTAACATAAACCCAGTTGTGGTGGAAAGGGGCTCATTTTGAATAACAAAATACTCATTTCTTTTTTTTTTTTTTTTGAGGAAGATTAGCCCGGAGCTAACTACTGCCAGTCCTCCTCTTTTTGCTGAGGAAGCCTGGCCCTGAGCTAACATCCGTGCCCATCTTCCTCTACTTTGTATGTGGGACGCCTACCACAGCATGGTGTGCCAAGCGGTGCCATGACCGCACCTGGGATCCGAACCGGCGAACCCCAGGCCGCCATGGAGGGGAAGGTGCGCACTTAACCGCTGCGCCACCAGGAAGGCCCCTAAAATACTCATTTCAACTTTATGGCTCTGAAGTGCTTTCAGGAACTGAGGACAAGCGACCGAATATTATGACAAAAGATGCTCTCACTGCTCTTATCAATCAGGAAACTCCAAGAGTTTTGGGAGCTGTGGTCCAGGAACTCGGGGTGAAGACCAAATGCAAATGGGAAAGATATTTTGGTGATCTGAATGACCAAATACATATTTCTTATAAATCACAATATTGCAGAATCGGAAGGAACAATCTTGGAGGAGGAGACCTTCCCCAAGACAGGGATTCAGACCTCACTGGCGAGGGCATGATTGCAGCCCATGGATGGTGGAGACGCTGCTGGCTGCAACTGGTCAACAGGCAGCAGGGCAGCAAATCACAAGAAGAAAACCTCCCTCCTGCCCAAATGCAGCCCGTCAGGGAACCACAAGCTGGTGGGTGAGCCCCAGCAGCTATCCAGGTGCAGCGACTGGCCTCTGCACACCTTAGAAGCAAGCCAAAAGTTGCACACCAGAACCAGGGAAAAAAGCCTCTGGGATCCCTCCAGAGCTCTCTGGCAGCTGGAAATGAAGAAATGTTTCAATATCACAAGCAGGTTCATGAAGAATGTATTTGGAACTGAGTGGTAATAAATCAGTTACTGGCACAGAGGCTTAGCTATCATCATCATCATCATCATCATCACCATCATGACACGATCACTTCTCCCCTGGAGTGGTTTGCTGGAATAAGCAGGAAGTGGAGATGGGGCAGCGAGTGCAATGACTGGTAGCCCAGCTAAACTCTTGGTGAATGGGGCTCATCTTCTAAACTTGGAGACAGGAGCGGGCGGTTTGGAAAATGGCACCAAGAGCTACTGGGAGGTTGGAACTATCTGCTCTACACGCCAGGATCTGTGATGCTCTCTCTCCCCGCTAAGCTAAGCCCACACTCAGTGAAAGCTTGCACAACCACTTGAGTCACCAGTCGCCCTTTCAGAGGATTCACCCAAACCCAGAGCAGGGCAAACAACGCCGCTTTGAATCATAGACCCAAAAGAGCACTGGCAAAAAAGGACCAGCTAAAATGAAATCTACTTTCTCACTCCCCCCTTCCGACCAGAGGGTCCCTTAGAGCCATGGTAAATAATGCAGGAAGATGAAAAAGGAAGCTTTATACCATCATTCCTCAACACAAAGTAATAGGACATTGACTCACCTTGCAACTAGAGGATTTGAACTAGACACAAAGGAAAATGTTCACAATTGTGTGCAAATCATATTAGGCTTGATAACATCTTGGAACAGCTGCAAAGACTTCTTTTCAAAAGAAGATGCATTCTGATGGCTTCAGCATCATCCCAGCTCGTAAGCCCTCAAGGTAATTTTCCACCCCCAGCTCCTACAGGAGGTGACGGGTGTGCGCCATAGCTTAGATAAAACTGAAAGAGGGATTGTGGAGGGAAGGCCCTGAGGGTCTTGTGTTTCCATTCTAAGCATGTGCCAAGGACAGGCCTGGGGGAGGCAGCAGCACTGAGGCCCTGAGTGGGAAGCCATTTCAGGCCACGCAGGAGGCAGCAGTAACACATCCTCATTGGATAAACAGTCCAAGGACCAGAATAACTGGGAAATGATGACATTCTGAAATAAAGCAGCAGGTCTTGTGTCCAAGAATCTCCCTTTGAGGAAGAAAACAAGGGGCCTCCTATTTGGCTCTGCGATTGGCAGGGAAGGAAGAGCATATTTCAGCTCAGTATGTATAGCTGCGCTCCAGGCCGGGCTGGGCTGGGCTACAGCAGTTTTCCATCTACATTTTTGAGATGCTTCCAATTTCTTCCAAATAAGCATTTCCCAAATATCCTGCCTGAAAACTGTCCCCCACCACTCAGGATGTGCTTTCGTTTCTCGAGTTGCTGCCACCAGAGAGATGCCAAGACCCGTGGGACCCAGCTAGCCTGGGAGAGCCTGTCTTAAAGCTTTGTTGGAATTTCTCTGAATCACAAGGCTTTAGAGCAAGGTGGACTGGGTCTTCCCGAGCCCTTGCCTAGTGCTTACAAATGCACATATCTAATCCAACCAGCTTAGTTTCCAAATGAGGCACCCAGGGCTCAGTGTGGTGACGGGGCTTGTCCGAGAACACACGGTGAGTTAACAGTAAGAAGTAGATCTGGCAGGTCCCTCTCCCTTACCTCAGGCCCGGGCTTTCTCCCCACCCCACACGGCAGATACCTAACAAAGCATCCAGAGATTAGTGCTAGATAATCTTGTTTTTTGCATGTCTGCTCTGAGTCCAAACAGCCATGAGCAATTACTTCAGTTGAATAGGGCTCGGGAGTGGTGGTGTTAGGGTTATGGGAAGGATTAGGGCAAGGGCTAGGGTGTGGATTAGGATGAGGGTTTTGAGAGTAGTTCAAGAAAATAGATTAACATCTTCCCCCAATATGCCTCAATCTCCATTTTCACCTATCCTCTGCTAGGGTCTTTATTCCTTGCATATTAATCATATGAACAAAATGAACAGATTGGAACATAAATTCTAAAGGAAGAGTTTGTATCTCAGTGACTCTGTAGTCTCACAGTACCAAAGCCAGTGTGTATCTGTTCTCTTTTACTGTGTTACAAGCTACCCCAAAATGAGTAAAATAACAACCATTTGACTACCCGAACCTGCACGGAGTCCAGAGTTTGGGCAAGGCTCAGCAAGTTCAGCTCTTCTGTGCCCCACGTGGTGTTGGCTGGGGCAGCTCAGCTGGGGCAGGAGGAGCTAAGATGGTCTTACTCACGCGACTGGGGCCTTGGTGTTGGCTGTTAGCTGGGGTGCCTATTTCTCTTCCATGTGGCCTCTGTCTCCAGCGGGATAACCTGGACTTCTTTACGTGACAGCTGGGTTCCGAGAAGAAAAGTGGAAGCCGGAAAGCCGCTTTACAGTCTGAGCTTGGAAACCTCAGAACAGCACTTCCTTCACATTCTACTGGTCCAAGCGAGTCCCAAGGCCAGCTGCACTCAGTGGATGGGGAGAGAGGCTCCACGTCTTGATGGAAAGCAGCAAGTCATGTTGCAAAGCGTGTGGACCTAGGGAGTGGGGTCCCTTGGTGGCCAATTTCTACAATTTGCTCCATAATTGTTGTTACAGGGAAGGACAACCTGACACAACGGAGAGAGATGTGGAACCCAAGCTGGGGGTGAGATCGGAGTCTACTCTCTGCCTCTTGCTATTAGTGTGGCCTCGGGCAAGTCACCATCCGAGCTTCCTATAAAAAGGAACTTCCTTTTCCTATAATATAGGGACACAGTGACTTAGTGGGAAAGAACAAATGAGATAAACGAAACAAAAATATGTCGAGGCTGCGGGGTCTGATGCAATTCTAACAATTTTGAACCCATATACTAATGCTGTATTAGTGTATTTGTACCCTTCCGCCTCCTAAAAAGGGTTCGAGGCAAATAGTGCACGGCTGGCGGGGGGCCACTTTCAGAGTCCTGAAAAGAGCTGTCTCAACAGCAGGCTTCAGTTGCAAGCCCAGTTCCGCCGCTTTCTCACAGGGAGAATCACTCACCTTCTCCAACTTGGAGTGTCTTCATCAGTTAAAATTACATTTTTGTGAGGATTATGAGCTTTTTCCTTGATTTTTGTGAAGATTATCATATACCAAGCACGATCAGCATGAAAGATCTTTTCATCACCATTATTATTCAAACATTTAGATTGTAACCAAGAAAATCTGAAACACAAAACTTCAGCAGTCAAAATTTCTAAAAAAATACCAGTTGGGTCTGAGCCTGGGTGGCTTTTTAGACTTATTTTTTAGACTTTATTTTTTAAACAAAACTAAAACTAAAGCTGTTTTTTTTTAAGTTGGGGTCATCTCTTCTTTAAAAAACCAAAGCCCTATTACCTAAGTAAGTTTCGGTGCCTGGAACCGCTGGTTGGGTATAAGAAATCTCACCCCAGGGCCAGCCCTGTGGCGCAGCGGTTAAGTTCGCACGTTCAGCTTCGGTGGCCCGGGGTTCGCAGGTTCGGATCCAGGTGCAGATGTGGCACCACTTGACAAGCCATGCTATGGTAGGTGTCCCACGTATAAAGTAGAGGAAGATGGGCACGGATGTTAGCTCAGGGCCAGGCTTCCTCAGCAAAAAGAGGAGGATTGGCAGCAGATGTTAGCTCAGGGCTAATCTTCCTTAAAAAAAAAAAATCTCATCCCAAGGATGAGAGAAGCCAAGTCTCCCCTCACCTAGGGCTGCAGGATAGCCTTTCTGTGGCCTGGGCCTTCCTCTCTGGGCCCATGGGCTGGGCAGGGACCCAGATGCCATACTTCACATCACTTATTCCACCCCGAGAACTGGTCTTTCTGGTCTCCATACTCCAGCCAGTGCACAATACCACTCAAGGTGCCAGAGCATCATATCCGCGTATCTAAGCCCCAGTCTCTGGAGATGCTGTTGGGCAGCTCAGTCAGGAGAGATGCAGTGGGAGAGTCCTGCCACTCCCATCACTTGACCTGGGTGTAGCTGCTCTGCTGTGCTGGGTGCAGTTTGCTGGTGTTTGGTTGGGCTGAAGCAGCCTTCCCGGTTCACACTGTGTTCAAATCCCCATGCCTCCTCCAGCCAAGTTTCCTTTTGCCTCTGCATGGACCCATCCTGGGCTTTTGACCAGCACTGAAGTCAGCTGGACTCGGCCTCTCGCACAAATCAATGTTGATGACCCTGAGGACCAGGGTCCTGGGAAAGGGAGAGAGGTCAAGGAGATGACTAATGAAAAAGGAGGAATCATGACAGGCTTAGCTTCCTCCAGCCAAGAGGAACCTAATCCTGATTGGAACCAAGGGGATGGGCTCCTGAAGAAGACGTGCACTAGATGCCAACGGTTTCTGTCTGTTCCAGTGTGCCCTAGAGCCGTTAGTGGGAATGGAGCCATGGAGAGGGGACAGGATGCTGGCTTCCTGGGACAGGGCTTGGTAGAAAGGACCTAGGAATTATAAGAATTAGATTCTAATTCTGCCTCTGATGCTTATTGACCACATGACTTTGAACAAGTCGATTCCCATCAGTTTCTTTATCTGTAAATGGAGCATCTGACAGATCAGAGGTTCTTACTCTAGTGTATGCGGACCACCAATGTGAGCCCCCTGAAATAGGGTTCCAAACTCCTATTGATTAGCACTCTCAATATCAATAAATACAGTCCCAATGATCTAAGTGAACTCAATTTGAATAATTTGGGAACTTTCGCCATCCCCTTCTGAAAACACATTCTGAGTTTTTCCAAATCTGTGCGGGGCCTTCCCCACTTACAAACTTTCATCCTGTATTGTTCAGCCAACTTGAGCTTCTCTTGCCAGCATCCAAGCTCAAAGAGGAGACTGTAGGATATCATCATAGAAAGAATCATAAGGTCAGCATTAAGTTACTGCAGGAGAATTCCAGTAAAATTACATAGTATGGGAATCTGGCTCATGTCGTCACAAATATATGATTCTTGCTGAGATAAGCTGTGGCCGCGAAATTCCTATTCAGGAAACAGAATGTTCCTTTCAGACAATTTGGCCATTCCTTCCTCAGAGAAAGCCTAAATGAAATAACTACACAGAAGGTAATATAAATAAGATAGTAACATCCTTAGCTAAAGGCAGTACAGGGCCCTTCTAAACACAAGCCGGTTAGCACTCGCTTAAGGCAAGCAATATTTTTCAAGAAGAAATGAGTCATGCTGATGTCACAAAAGAGAATGTAAAGCAGCCAGCCTCTTGGGTCATGTAGTGACTCTCAATAGGTGATGGGGGGTGGGGAAGACAGCTTCGGAAGCCCACCTGGCAAAAAATCCACACTGGGGGCGAGAGATAAACCGGCACATTCCCCAGACTGACCCACTAGGCTTCTTTCATAACTTACTGGCAATGAGCTGAGGAAGCTGTGAGTCTGGGAGTTATTGATTTTCTCTCATCATCAAAATTCCTGCTTTTGGTGAGGGAACCAATGCCAAGTAAGCACAGAACCTGTCTTCTCTCTGGACCAGAGCAGCTCATGCCCCTTCAGGTAAAACAGGTTTGGGATGCCCAAATGTGCATTCATTCATTCATTCATTCATTCCAAGATTGTCCAGGCAGGAGGGTTACAGAGACACGTTAATGTCATCCTTGTCCTCAGGAACTCAGAGTCCAGGGCCCAGCAGAAACGACTGACCACTCGTTAGGCCTAGAATAAACACCAATCATCTACATTAGAAGCTGAAAGGTAGCCTTTGGGTTTTTTGAAATGGAGGTTTAAAAAATAAATAAATAACAGGCTGGCCCTGGTCTGCCTGGCAGTCACCAACCCTTACCATCAGCTGGCAAGGATGAAGAAAAGCAAGCTCGTTTTGCTTTTTTTTTATTGCCAAAATGAAACACAAGTGGGAAAGAAAATTTACCACAAAAGCATTCAAAAGTCTGCAGAATTCAGAAAACAAAGGGTCTGTGATTAACTAGGCCACAGCTCCCTTGAAAGTTGATTGTACTGAAGAACAAAATGTTTCTCTCGTGTTCTCACCCTAGAAAAACAGGCCTGGTGCAGTGGCAGAGTGAGAGCTCAGCGGCAGTGGGCAGAGAACTTCAGGTAATAAATAGCTTATATTTATTAGGGGTTTCCTACGTGCCTGGTGCTGTTCTAAGCAGTTTCTATATATTAATTCATTTAATCCTCACAACCACCCCATCAAGTGGGTACTGTGATGAGCCTCATCAGAAAGGTTAGGTAAAATGCCCAAGATCGCACAGCTAGTGGAAGGCAGGGCCTTGAACTGAACTGAGCCTGCGCAGAGGGCCCTCCTAGTCAAGCTTTCCCTGAAGCTCCAAAGCAGGGTGTCTGTGCTTCTTGGCAGCATCACCTAGTGGTATAGCAGGAGCTTTGGACCAGAAAGCCTGAATCCTGATTCTGCCATTCAGTGGTGTGTGATTTTTGATAAGTTATTTAACTTCTCAAGTCACAGGGTCCTCATTTCTCAAAAGGCACAACAGTCTCTTTCAAGATTGTTGTGAAGATGTGAGGATTAAGTGAGATAAAAATAAAGCCCCTACAGCATTCCACGCTTAGGGGAGAGCAGTTTCGCCTGACTGTGCTGTACATTCCATCCCCATGAGTTTCAATAAAACTTATCCAAGAAGCTGCATGTTGTCAAGAGATGCATCAAAGCAGTGAAGATCCACACACTGGTAGGTCCAATTCATGTGTACTGTGCAATGAAAGCAAGGCAGCATCTTAATTTCCCAGGGCTTCTGCTAAATGCCACTAATAATTTATTTTGAAATGCTAGAAAATGCCGTCATTAGTTTTAACCAAGGAAAATAGCAACCTGCGTCACTACAATTGTCGAGCGATTTGAGGAGCTACGGGTTGCGTAGGATGACTGAGCACTCTTATTAGGAAGAGAAGTCTCATCCTAGGCCACCCAATGGCTGAACGCCATGGAGCATCCCACCATGGAGGAATAAGGGTTCACACTGGACTCATAGCATGCACATGCATGCATACAGTAGAAAAAGTTATTACTTAGCATTTTCATGGAGGTTTAGAACTGGAAATAACTATAGAGAACTATATAGAAGTCCTAAAAATCACCTAATCCAATGATCCACCTAATGCTTGAAATGGTTAGATGAAATGAGAGCTGAGGATCCTTTCATTTTAATATTCTATGGCTCTTTAATAAAGCATATTATTTTCTTACAGACATTGTCAGTGCCCAGTCACCCACCTTGCGATTTGCCTGATATTCAGTCAATGAATTCTAAGACTTTCCAAACAGACTAGGGGTACTTAACTTAGGTTCCACACAATTCAGAGATTTAAGACTCTGAAATATTATGCAAAATCAGTGTGTGCCTTTTACTGGAGAGCAGGCACACAATTTCCATTAGCTCCTCAAGGGGTCTATATATAGACCAAAAAAATACACTTCTAAGAACCATGTTATCAACAGGTACAGTGGCCAAAATATACCAGTGTAGGTGCCCTTTTGGGAATCAGTATATGATGCCTATGTGGAAAATAAAATAAGCTCTGAGACATTCACAAATAACAAGCTTCACTAGCCTCGTGCAGAAAAATTTGGAGTTCACTGCCCAGTTGTTTGCTTTAACACAGACACGCAACAGGCACCAACACCAAAAAGCAGTGCTCTCCTGGTTTTATGCTGAGTTTTGTGTTTCGAACATGAGTAGCAATAGCTCACTCTTGATGATGGCTCTTCCATCCATTCAGAGCACATTATTTTATCCCTAATGATAGAGATATTAAATACCGGAAGTACAATAAAAAGTACAACAGATTTGGCGTCAGCTCCAAGATCAAATTCAAGTTCATAATTTATTACCTCGATGCCTTGGACAAGTCATTTAACCTCTCAGCCCAGGTGGGCTTCAGCTTCCTCACCTGGAAAGTACAGGTATTAATGGCAACCACACAGGGTTGCTCTGAGGGCCAACGAAATAGTGCACAGAACATAACCTAAAACATTGCCAAGGATGTAGTAGACGACAAAGCTAGAAATGAAATGTTCTTATCCCATTGAAAACCACTGAGAGCAGATGAAGATTTACAAAGATTATTCAGCAACAGCTACAGGATCTCTTAAAGTCTGAGGGGCAGAATTTCAACAGATACTATAGTCTAGCGGGTGATACAGACATCTGTTCATTCAATAAGCGTTTAAGAACCACTGTGTGCCAGGGATACAGTGATGAATAGGCAAACAATCTAGTAACCATATAAATAAATGAAGAATAAAATTGTGACGAGCTCTCAAGGGAAAGATTACTGACGCCCCCGAGATTTTGAGGTAGTGAGGAGTCACAGAGTCATGGAGGAAGGAATGCTTGGCCTGAGAGCTGAAGGATAAGTGAGTGGGCTCCAATTAGGACAGGGGGAAGGGAGAATTCCAGGTCAATGATTTTGGTAGTGAAGGGAAAGAGAGATAGAAGGGAGAGATATAAGGCAATAGCTAGAGATGAGCAATCAAATTAGGAATCATTAGTATTGGAAGTTTTGAATGAAATACTAAAGCAATGGATGGAACATTCCACCATGATGCAAAATGATCAAGGGAGGTCTTCTGAAACCAGTTGCATAATCTTTTTTTTAACCTTTCACCATACTGAATAGAAAGAGGTCGGGGGTTATTGGAGATGAGGTGAAGGATTTGAGAGAGAGTTGTTGATGTACTTTGACTCTATCCCCCACCTCGGCGGGGGGCAGCAGGAAGCATGGAGGATTCCTCCCTCCTCTCAAACGTAGGGAAAGGAGCTTCCCAAGGCAACTGGGAAAGCTTCATCCTAGTCCCCCTAGTGTTCAGGAAAGAGAGAGGATGGTGTCTGACCTGCTTTGTGGTCAGCCAGCTGCTCTGCTGGGGCAGCAAATGCGTGGCTGGTGCTGCAGGGGATTCGCCCACACTCCTAGAAGATCCTAAGAGGCACAGCCCAGACCAGTCTAAGCCTCCAGGATTGAACCCCTGGCTCCAGGAGGAAGATGAAGGCACTCACTGAGCCCTTCTGAGTACAAGAGCCTTACTAGCCACTCTAGCTTCCAGGGACCGTCTCCCAAGCTTCTCAGAGAGAACCAGAAAAATACAGCGAAGATAGCATTTCATCAATACCATCTAAAGCCATCTTGTGTAGTCTCTGCTGTCTGAACATTCATGAGGGGAAAATTGCAGCAAAGCAGACGGTCACCACAGGCATTGAAATATGACCATGATGATACAGACAGAGGTATCAGATATTTTAAGGTTTGGGGTGATTTTTTGGGTAAAGTTGTTGTGGTTTTTTGTTTGTTATTAAAATAGCTATCAGGAAAGGGATCTCGTTTTTTAACACAGTTCATTTCTCCATAGCAGCAAAGTCAAAGGGAATTATAATGGCAGGAGATGGAATACACTGCAAGGAAGGTCCAAACGTTACTCTCACTTTTGTAAAAATGTCCTTTTTGGTGTTGCATTCCACCTACGTCCCTGGGAAAAGATGTCTACATCTCAAGAACAGCTAATACATGACCTCTCTAATATTATTATGACATCACATTAATTTAGCATTTACCATGTGCCAAGCATTGTTAAGCTTTGGTGTATGGTTCCTTAAAAATTGTTATTCTTAGGGAAAGAAGGATGACCTTTCTCTCGCCTGCCTTTTTCTCAGCACTCTTTCTGTTTTGTGCCATGCTCGGGACATTTTGGTGCTCACAGGAGTCCTGCCTTCAAAGACAAACTCTCTTGGCTCCTCTTCAGAGCAGGCCATTCTCACATGGGGCTCATCCCTGAGGCTGTAGGACCAAGAGATCCCTGAGTCTGTAGACTAGACCCACCTTTGTAGCCACACCTGTCAGGGTTGTCAGTTAGCTGCTGCACTGTGTTCTGGTGCAAACTTTAGCGTGTATTTTTGTATACACATGTTCCTAAAAGGCCAAATTTGGTGCCAGGTTTTATATGCAGGCACTATAATTTGTATTACATCTCCTGATTCAATGGTAGTTTTCTTTAAACTTGTTGATTTAAAAAAAAAAAAAGAAAGAAAGTGTTAAAAAAAATTATTGCATAGCAGAGCCAGGATTAAGACCCAGATCTATCAAATATTATGGGCCACGCTCTTAAACACCACACCATTCAGCTTCTAGAGTCATATTCTCAAACAATTTACTCATTTGCTTATTATTTGTAAGCAAAAATTTCCTTCCATTTACCCCTCGTTAACCACCCCCCACACCCCCTCCCCCGCACACACACAGATACACAACTACACACCATCAGTCCTCCTCTTTCTGGCTGCTCAGGAAGATAATTTAATGCCTCCTCATGTTGCTCAGAGTCCAGAGCTGCTCTAACGGTGAGGAGGCTGCCTTCTGCCTTCTGCTTCCTGTCTCTTTCACAGACTCTTCTTCCTGTATCCAGTCCCTGAGTGTGTTTGGTCCCTAGAATTCCATCTTTAACCCAATCTTCTTCCCACCTACATGTTTTCCTCCCTTTCCATGGCTTCTGCTCAGGTCTCTTTGCTCACATCTCCAGATCTTTGGCTTCAAGCAAGATCTCTCTCCTGAGCTTCAGGTTCCGCATCTTCAGCTGCTTGATCTCCAGTTTAGTCACTGAATTGTGAGGTCCTCAAAGATGAGAACCATGCCTCATTCACTTCCCTCAAGGCTTGCACTGCAGGAAGCATTTTATACATTTTTTAACATCATGTATGAATAAGTGAGTGAAGGAATAAATGGATTCAGTTAATGTCTGTTTAATGAATAACAAATTAAGGTGAGAAGAGAAAAAGACTTTCAAAAGGAGTAGCCATGTACAATTTGTCTTCTCACCTAGAATGGAACGTGCTGGAGAAGAGCCCAAAGAACGCTGTATCCCATAAGATAAACAGATCCCCTGGAAGTGGCATGCACAAATATGTTTGACAAACACTAGATTTAAAAAACTTAAGCAGGATTTTTTGATCCTGTAATATGCTAACATCTAGTTCAAATGTCCAAAAGAATATACTTTCCAGCATTTGTTAAACATATTTGAGTACATTTCTGTTTTGGTTTGTTTGTTTAATTAACACACATCAGCTGTTCTACAGACTGACATTCTGTGGATAACCAATTGGGAAAAATGATGCTCTAGAAAATCAGATTTTTGACAAGTCTTATAAGAAAATTGCGTTTTATTATTAAAGTATTATTTGTTATATAAGTATAAAATACTTATAAGAAAATCATTTTAAAAACAACTTCAAACCTAACCCACTGGCAGTTTTGAGAAACTTTTGACCTTTTCTAAGAACAGCTCACTATTTCTATGTAGACCACGTGGACACAAGAGACTTTAGGCTTGGCCTGGTGTGGACCACACCCTGGAGCATTGGAGAGGAGACCTCATTATGCTTCAGGGTCACACAGATTGTCCATCAATCAGGCCACCACCATTAACCCATTTGCTATGCTGAATACCACTTTTCTTCCTGTCTCCCTAAGCAGAGTGACATTTTGGTCATGAAGCCCAAACGCACTGGCTCTCAACTGCATCTCTTCTCTGGGGCCTTGGGGTCGGGGCGACTCCTCGTGCTACAGCAGCTGCAGGAAGCGCTGAGTGACATCACCTCCCCCTAAGCCAAGAAGCCTCCACAAGGTCAGGCCTGGAGGAGCTGTCTTTAGGCAGAGAACACACAAACAATCTACCTCTTTCCGCCCAGGGGAATGAGCTCACAGCTCCGGGGAGCACAGCTCTACACGTGTGCCAGGTGGTGACAGGGTTAGTGTGCTAGCACTTCTGACACCCTGCAGGTGCTTCATTCATGGGACACCACCCAGTCTGTACCAGATGGTGGGGTGGGAGATGGACACCCAGCTCCAGACCTTCCCTCGCTTTAAGTTATAAGGCCTTTGGGAGACAGACTCGCCCATTTTCTTGGACTGGGTTGTATGGATGTTTGCCCAATCAGAATGGGATAGATAACTGGAGTAGGGTGGGGATGGAGAAGAGGTTCTCGAGAGATTACTCTACAAATAAAAATTCCTGGCAATTGCCTCTCACTTCTATCACCAACTGTTATTCTCTGGGTCATGGAAATTCCCGTATTGCTGGCCATATGTGGGGATACAGTGGAAGAGTTCAAGGAAAGCTGATTGGCTCACCGATTGGTGAGCAGAGCTATATAGAATGGAAAAGAAGCCCCCACAATGAGTTGGACAACCTGACCCTAACCTGGGCTCCCCTATTCTCTACCCTGCTTTTACCAAAGTCAAGAGGCAAAGAGTTCAAATCCACCCATATTTTAGTTCCACGATAAATGAGCTCTTGTTGATGTACAACTCCTAATACAATTGGCCTGACCGTACCCTGCTTTCTCATCACAGATGGGAAATGGGCATGAATCAAACCAATGTATGTCTTTGAATGCTTCAGAAGAAAAGGTTCCAGTTGGATGCCCATGTTTCAATTCCCTGTAATTTCCTTATTTGAATCTGTTGAGGGCTCAGAATTTCTGTGTCAAGAGGTGTGCGTTTATCTGCCTGACGAGATGAGGTCTCAGGGACCCCCACGTAAGTACCATAGAAAGACGTACCCTAAAAGGAAGAATTCCCTTCAAACCTTGAATACCAGCTAATCTAATGACTGAGGCTGGCTGAGGTGGCTTGCTAAGGAAACGAGACGAGGAAGATGGAAGGGGAGAGAAACAAGGTCAAGTGGAAAGAGGGAGGAAGGAAGAAAGCGAAGGAGGGAGGCAAGGAGAAAATTGAGCATGTCAGGGGCCCACTGGGTTTTATAAATAAGTCATGGAAATAATGAAACCTCGTTGTTCTGAAAGTGAAAGAGAATGAAAAAGTCTCCACTGCGCCCCGCTGATTCGTGCCCTGGTCCAACCAACCTCAAAACTGAGGAGAAGGGGCTGCCATCTGGGCTTCAGCCTGCAGTCCCGAGGGTCTGTGGGTCAGGGCTGCACCCCAAGTGTGGCTGCTCTGAGGGGCCCCTGGAGGACCCACTGTGTGAGTTCAAATCACTCCTGCTGCTAGTCAGGAATGGCCCTCAGGAAGCTGCTTCACTCCGAGGTCATTCTCTTCAGAATTTGATGAGCAATCCTCAGAAGAATGGAGGGGGACCAAAGGTTTGAATCCTGACTCCAAAGGCAATATGTTGGCAAGTTTGTTTTTCCTTGGGGCTTAGCATGTCCTTCAGGAAACTGGGGAGGACAGTGACCTTCTAGGGAAGGTGTCCTGCAAGTGAGGGCCCCAGTCCCTTCATGGCACACAGATGCCTGTGCCAGGGCAAAGGAAGATGCCTGGACCTGAACAAAACAGCTGTCTACCTGCTGTCAACAGCCGGCTCATGGCAGAACCAGGAAGGGCCGGGGGAGAATCTGAACACCTCAGCCACAGCCTCAGCGTTCCCCGGGCCAGCACCACCTTCATCTGTCAGTACCCACCACACTCCGCCCTTGACCCGCTCATCCGTGAGGCAGCTGTCCCTAAGCAAGTTCAGTCCACGGCTTGCTTTCATGAAGGCTTCAAGGCTTTCTGTATACTTTTCTCACCCCTAAGCAGAACAAAACAGCTCCCTTCCTGAGAATTCATTCAGCTGCTGACTTGAGAGGTGGCTTAAGCAGCTATTGTTTCGTTGGAGTGAGTAGGCCATGGGCTCTGTCGTCTGGTGGCCAGGATTCAAATTCCAGCTCTGCATTGACTCGCTGGTGACCTTGGGAAAGTAACTTAACCTCTCTGAGACTCAGCCTCCCCATGTTTGAAGTAATGATAACAACAACAGTGTTGTTATGAGGATTAAACTGTATCATCTCTTGGAGAGAAGAATCTGTTTTATCCGACGATGTTTAGCCCACAGTAAGCACTGAGTAAATATTTGTTGAATACATGCAAAATGCTTTGCACAGTGTTTAGCACACAGGAGGTTGCAATAAGTGGATAGTATTATCTTCCTTATCATTATTCTCTGCCTCTCCTCACATGGAGGAGCTTATTTTGGCCATTATATCAGGGTACTGGCAGGAAACAGATGGTACATTCCACTTGAGGAGAGCTTCACGAAGGAGCTGTTTGCAGAGGTGGGAGCAGGATTAAGCAAACCAGTGGGGAATGGTTAAACACTTCAGAACCAGCAGCAACAGAAAGTGCCACCTCCCCTAGACCTGAGAGGTCAAGCAGGGAAGCTGCTACCAGAACCCTGAAAGAGATCCATAACCCAGAGGGCAGCTCCAGAGTAGCTCAGTCCTTCAGTGGAGGAGTGGAGCACGGACAGAGACGGGAGAATGAAAACCCTGCCCATTCTCTCCTCCCACCCTCTGATCTCCTGCCAATGCCTCCCATCGCCAAACCCAATGCTCCCTGATGAGGTCCACGCGGGTCAGCTTCCACAGACCAGAGGGGAGAGGGTGGGGCTGGATCTGGTGGAAAATCCAGGACAGTTATGAAGTCTCCAAAGGGTGTATGTTCATAGCCATCTTTCCTAATCTACAAAGGTTCTTCAGCAGATTTATATCATAACAAACGAGATGTTCTCAAAGAAACTGAGACCAATAGTAGAGTTTGAAATTTCACCTTGTATTTCTTCCTGTTGGAGGAGTCTAAACATCTGGGGCCCAGCTGTCCTGTGGAGTTGATTCCACAGCTGTATCATGCCTTTCCTGCCCTTCCTCATACTATGCATTTCTACATGTAAAATCTAGCAATGGATACATGCACTTGCTTTGAAAAAAGTGAAAAGTGAATCCAGGCATGGATAACCTACAGGTACATTTTTTTTAATGTTTGCAATACTTGGGTAATTTTTTTAAAGAAAAATTAACTCCGTTAACGTATGTAATATTTTTAATCTACCCACATTTGCATATCAACTTGGGACTGCATATTCTATGTATAACAAGACGTAAAGAAATCCTAAACTTGAAGAACTAAATTCGTTCACTTTTAAAGCGCAGGTATACTGTGGCAGGAGACACACTGTGTGAGCAATCAGAAGCCAGCTCTGCAGAGACCACCAGTCTCCGAAGGCCAGCAGTGTTGACTATCCCAATACTGAACAGCTAGCTAGGTTACGTCCCGCCAGCGGGCATCCAACCCCACTCCCCAAGAGCCGCCAGGAGGCCCAAGGCCTTCACTTCACAGTGCTGAGATCTGAACACACACTAGCCCTCTGCAGGTCGTCTTCATCTGGTTAAGTATATGCAAAGATGCAGACAATAAGACACAACCACATTCAAATGAAGGCATCACCACAGTGAGGCTTGGCGAGTTCACAGACCCTGCCCCAACCCGGCTCCCATTTAGAGATGAATGGTGGCAATGAAGGTAATGAGAGCCAAGGATTATGCAGTGTTTATTTCGTTCCGGAGACTACACTGAGCCCTTCACACAGGCTATCTCAATCCTGCAAATAAGCATGTGTTGTAGATTTGATTTTATAGATGTGGGAAACGAAGCCAAGGGATATTAAGTTACTTGCCCAAGATAACAACGCTGGTGAGTGGAAGAACTGGTATTGGAATTTAAGCAATCTAACTCCAGACTGTATTTTTAACCGTTGGGCAATTCTGCCTCTGATTATATCCCTTAAATATTCACAGAGGGGAAAAAAATGCAAAACATGCACTTTTCAAGTTAAGAGCCACTTTCTTCAGAGAGTGAGATAATGAGTGAACTTTTTCCTTTACTTTCTACTTTTTTGCTGTTTCCTGATTCTACTTAGGAATCATATTAATTTCAAGGGCCGGCCCCATGGCCGAGTGGTTAAGTTCGCGTGCTCTGCTTCAGTGACCCAGGGTTTCATGGGTTAGGATCCTGGGCGTGGACACCTGAGGTGGTATCTCACATGGCACGCCCAGAAGGACCTGCAACTAGAATATACAAGTATGTATTGCGGGGCTTTGCAAAAAGAAGAAGAAGGTGGGCAACAGATGCTAGCTCAAGTGCCACTCTTTAAAATATATATTAATTTCATAATGAAAAATATAAACTTTATGACAAAAGCCATTGTAGAGGTCTGGCTGTATCAGGAAAGGACGATTTCCTGTGGTCCATTCCTCCCTCAGGTTATTACCACAAACCCTGTGCAGAATTGAGGCCAAGAAGTGACCCCCACATGTATAGTCAACTGGTTTTCAACAAAAGTTCCAAGGCAGCTCAATAAGAGAAGAACTGCCTTTCCAACAAATAGAACTGGATCAACTGGATATCCACAGGAGGGAAAAAAATGAAGATTGACCTTTAGCTCCATTTAAAAAAAGGTTTTGGATCAATGCTACTTCATCACAATTAAAAACTTCTATTCTTTGAAAAACGCCATTAAGAAAACATATAGGCAAGCGACTAGGTGGGAGAAAGTACTCAAAGCACTTGTACCCAAAATGTATAAAAGACTCCTACAACTCAATAAGAAGAAGAAAGCCTATTTTCTTTAGTGGGCAAAAAAATTGAACATGCACTTCAAAAAAGAGAAAATATGAAGGGCCAAAAGCACATAAAAAGATGGTCAACATCATTCATTAGTTATTGGGGAATTGTGCACTAAAAGCACAATGAAATGTCACTACATCCACTAGAATGGCTTAAATGAAAAAGATTGAGCATACCAAGTACTGGTGAGGGTAGAGAGTAACTGGAACTCTCATAAACTACTGGTGGAAATAAAAAAATGATACAGTATTTTTTAGAAAACAGTTTGGTAGTTTCTTCAAAGGTTAAACATAAACTCAGCATACAACCCAGCCATTCCGTACCTAGGTATTTACCCAAAATAAATGAAAACACATGTGCACACGAAGACTTGCACACGAATGTAAATGGCAGCTTTATGTGTAATAGCTAAAAACTGGAAACAACCCAAATGCCCATCAACAGGTGAATAGAGAAACAAATTGTGGTATATCTATCCAATAAAATACTACTCCACAATAAAATGGAGAAAATACTGATACAGGCAAAAATATGGGGGATTCGCGAAATCATTATGCTGTGTGAAACAAAACAACCCCCTTCAAAAAGAATATATATTGTATGATTCTGTTTATGTATAATTCTAGAAAATGCAAATTAATATGTAGTGACTAAAAGAAGATCAGTATTTGCCTGGGGATGAGTGTGGAGGGAGGGATGGATTACAAGGGAGCATGACGGAGCTTTTGAGAGTGATGGAAATTTACGTTGTCTTGACTGTGATGATGGTTTCATGAGTATATACATTTGTCAAAGTTTATCAGATTGTACACTTTAAATATGCAGTTTTTTGTACATTTGTAAAGTTGCTTAAAAAAAACATCTTTTCTGCTGAGCTCCTGCTCTTAGGAACTAAGCAGCAACGGTAGCCTCAGCACCCAGCACCCTAGTTTGCTCTTCCTCATACAGACGCTCCCAGGCTTCACACAGCAGAAGTTCTGATTCACCATTCCGGGCAGCCCTCTTATCACGCTCTCTGCCCTACCACTTGATCTTTCATTTGTACAGCCCTTTGATTTTTGTCCAAAGCTTTTACTGTAGTATAGTCAGGCGCACGCATCCAATTTCTAAGAATTCAACTATAGACATGAGGCAATAAAGAAAAGCAATTACACAGTATTTACAAGAAAGAGAAACCATGGACACGCAGGGTGGCTCATCAGCCATTCCATTCCATGAGCCTGAGGTGAGTTGAGTGGCTGTGCTCTTCCTCCAGCTGGACCCATTCCCGTGTGTCTCTCATTTTAGGAGAAACTCATCATTTGAAGTAAAATTTGTGTTTAAAACACACATTTTTTACAACACAGCCTCTAAATGTAAACCAACTGCTCATCTTACACTCAACTTCTTCATTCTGGGACAATGAGCTGTTCCAGAACTGGAGAAAATGCTAATTGTGTTGGAATCTCCCTAATCATAAGGGTAATTGCGCTATACTTGATTTTCATCATAGGTGCTCGCTTTAGAACCCTCGCATAAGATGGAACTTTCCTGTATCTCTTTCAGTTTTTAGAACAACCCATGAAGTGGCTGGGGCAAGTAGTACTATCCACATTTGACAGATGAGGAAACACAGACTGAGTGAGATTGTGGCTTGCTAGTTACACAGCTAACAAGGGACGTCTCCTTCCAAGAACCCATGTCTTCAGACAGCAAGTCTAGCACTCCTTGAACCACATAGCCACCTCCACATGTTGCCATTTGGCTCATTAGACAAAAACACTACTTATGGCCTGGATCTGCCCTGAGTCTCAAGGAGAATTCCCACAGCAACTCTAAGTTATTTTCACAAGGCGAGCAGAAGTTCCTGCTAATAATTCCTGGCTCTCTCTTAATATTGTCTTCCCTCCTAATTAAAAAGGAAATATGTTAAGCCAAACATGGTAGCCTTGTGACTCTTACCTCCCAATCAGAGTCAAGATTTATGTTAATTCCCAACCAAGCTGTCAGTTAACCAAGCTTTGAGAAGAAGGGACACAGATGAGGCCAAATTATGGTGATATGATTCGACAAACTCAGAGGAACCACCGTCCGGGGAGAGCCTCCAACGTCCCAGAGGCAAGGGGAAGTTTTTAACACATATCTAAACCTACCACCTGCCAGGCACTCCCCAGACATCAGTATGCATTTTGTCTTCTGTACACATTCTAGCTGCAGCCCTTAATAAGGGTGGGGAATTTCAGCTCGAACATACAGAGCAACCTTTCTTTTAGGGGTCTTAGAAAGAGTATGTCTCCATGGGGAGAGGGAGGGGTTGGAAACAATGACCTGTAAGGATAATTTCCACTCTAAAAGTCTAAAAACAAACTATCCCCAATCCATTAAACAACAAGTGGGTTGCCACTAAAAATCATTTTGCAAAGAGTGGCAAAGGTGACAGGGACTCTGGCTACTCCCCAAAACTCCATTGATGAGGTCTTAGCATCAAACGGATTAGATTTAACAAGTGCCCCTGTCCCAGGCATGGCAACTAGGATAGAAACCATCCCCTGTTTGACCCAAATGAGAAGCTAAGAGGCTGGTTACCGCAGTTAGGGTGCATGCACTGGAGGGCAGCGAATATGCCCTG